TGCTGTTTTTAGGATTCTCTCTTTGTCCTTGACTTTTGACAGTTTGACTACAATGTGTCTTGGAGAGGACATTTTTGGATTGAATCTCTTTGGGGATCTTTGAGTCTCTTGAATTTGGAAGTATGTATCTCTCCTAGTTCCTGGGAAGTCTTCTGCTATTACTTCATTGTATAGGTTTTCAATGCCTTTTCCTCTCTCCTCCCCTTCTGGAACACCTATGATTTGTATATTTGTGTTCTTAAGGTTTTCTGATAGCTGTTACAGATTTTCTTTTTTTTGATCTTGTCTGTGTTTTAAAATTTTTTAAAATTTAATTTTATTTTTTATTGTAACATAGTTGATTGTACATATCTGTGGGGTACAGAATTGAATATCAATACCTGTGTGCAATATGTGATGCTGAAATCATGATAACCAGTATATTCAACATTATACAATATAATCACTTTTTGTGTCACTTTACCAATTCTACCCCCCTCTTCCTTCCCCTTTCCCACCTTTGGTAACCTTAGTTCTGACCTCTCATTTTGATAGTTCTGTGTATTATTGTGATTGTTGTATCTCTCTCTCTCTCTCTCTCTCTCTCTCTCTCTCTTTAAAATTATTTATTTTTTAGCTCCGACTTTTGAGTGAGAACGTGTTGTACTTCTGTGCCAGACTTATTTCCCTTAACATGATTTTGACTAACTTCACCCATGTTGCTGCTAATAGCAGTATTTCATTCTTTTTTTATGGCAGAGTAGTATTCCACGGTGCATATATACCACGTTTTCCTTATCTAGTTGTCTGATGATGGACATTTAGGTTGGTTCCATGTCTTGGGTATATTCTTCATTTTTTTTTCTTTTTTCTTTTTGTCTACCTGTGTTATTTTGAAAAGACTGTTTTTGAGGTCAGTAATTCTTTCTTCTGCTTGCTCTAGCCAGCTGCTTAAGCACTTGTTTTAATTTTTTTGTCATTGAAAGAGTCCTTCAGGTGCAGGAGTTTAGCTACATTCTTTTTAAAGGTATCTATCTCTTTGTAAATTTTCTCATTCACATCCTTGATTGTTTTTCTCACTTGGTTTCATTGCCTGAATCTTCTTGTATCTTATTGAGTTTCCTTATGATTGTTGCTCTGAATCTCTTTTTGTTCATTTCAAAGATTTCCTGCTGTTTGGAGCCTGGTACTTGAGAAATACTTTATTCTTTTGGTGGTGAAATATTTTCTCTTTCTTTTCATATTTCTAATATTCCCATGTTGATGTCTGGTCATCTGGTAGAGTAGTTGTTTCTTCTATTTCTCTGAAGTAGCTTTTGAGGAGAAAGATTCCCTTCTGTAGATGTGTTTTATATTGACCATTGGGTATGGTGTTTTAGTTTTGGTTCTGGGTAGATCCAGTAGCATAATCTCCATGTGGTTACTTTGGCTGTATCCAACATTAGACTTCTCTGTGAGTACCTCTGAGGCCTAGGCATTGGGGCACTCAGTGGTTCCTTGCTGAAGTGAGTGACACTGTGTTGGGTTGTTGAGGATGTGGGCAGAATGTTAAGGTCTTAGGAGAAGTGCTTGTGTGTCCTTTTGCTTCTTGGGTGAGGTGGGTGACCCTGCGCACTTACTGCTGGTGTCCCCATGACTCTGATAGGTGCACTTTTGTATACTGATGCTCAGGTTGAATGAGTAAACCTGGGTGGGGTTTCTCTTTCCTCCTTACTACAGGCAGTGTCTCCTCCTGGGTCCTTGCTTCTCTTGGTTGAAAGATCAGTTGGTGGTGGCTGGGTATTTTCTTCCATACTTTATTTGGCTATCCTGAGTTTCTGCATCGGCAGAAACCATCCACTGGCAGTTCCATCCGTGTTCCATCTGTGTTCCTCCCCAGGTCAGGGCAGTCGTGTGGGTTGTACAAGTAGTTCCCGCCCCCAGGTGCATTACTGTGGGGGCAATGTAATTTCCCCTGTCGTTGGGCCACTGGGTAACAGGGCTGCCCTCACTCACCTCTTTCCGGTGGCTTTGCTCATGACTCTCCCTGTGTCAATGCAGTTGTGTGGTCTCTGTGAGTAGTTCCCACCCCTGGGTGCATGCTCAAAGAGAGTGTGGGTTGGGCTGCTGGGTTGAGTAGCTGCGCTTGCTCACCTCATACCATGAGGCTGCATGTGGCAGTCTTCCCAGGTCAGAACAGTCATGTTATCTCCACGAGTAGTTTCCACCAGTGGACATGCTGGGCTGCACTGGTTCACTTCTTTTTTCTTTCTTCTTGTTTGGTAAAACACAGGAACACCTGGATCTGGCTGAGGGGTGTTGGCAGTGGCAACAACCATGGTAGGGAGTGCGATGATCTACTTTGTTTGGGGTGGGTAACAGAATGAAATGGTGTATGGGAGCAGCAGTGGTAGGAACCACATGGAGGGAGCAGTGGTGGCTGTGGCAGGGAGTGGAAGAAACTGCTAGGGAGATGGGTGGCAGCTCTGGTGATGAACAGTGTTACTGATATCTGTGTTGGTATTGGCAGCAGGCTGGGACATGATCAAGAGGTGGATTACTGCTAGGAATTCCTCACAACCAAACAGATTATTTTCACCAAAAAGGAAAGTTCCTCCTGTGTTGATCTTGGTGTTGGAGACATGGCAGCTGAAGCTGTGTGCCTTTTTCTCCTCTCTATGCCATCTTCTTGGTTTTTCACGCTCTAGGGGTCCTCATCAGACTGTTGCTACCCTCCACACTCTCCCACTGATTCTCTCTTTAGCACTTAACTGTTTCACATTCTGTTCTCTTTCTGTTGGCAGAACATGCCCCAGGCACCTCTAGTCTTCCATCTTGCTTTCTTCCTCCAGAAAATGAATTTGAAAACTATTCTATTATAATCACATTAAAAAAAAAATCAAGTACCGAGAATAATTTTAGCAAGAAGTGTGTGTAATGTGTACACTAAAAGCATCAAAATATTATCGAAATTAAAAGAAGTCCTAATAAATGAAATGATAAACCATGTTTATGGACTAGTTGACTGAATATTGTAAAAATGTCATTTCTTCTGAAATTAATATATAGATTCCTCCCAATCCCAGTCAATATCCCAGTAGGTTTTTGGAAATTGCCAATCTGATTCCAAAGTTTGTGTGGAATTGCAAAAGAATAGCCAGGGAAATCTTGAGGAACGAAAACGACCAAATAGGAGGATATACATAACAAGATATCAAGACCAATTATAAAGCTACAATAATTGACAGTGTGGTATTAGCATAAAGATAGACAAACAGACAAATGAAAGTATATAGAGTGTTCAGAAACACACACATATACAAGGTCACCAGATTTATGACAAAAGTGACACTGCAGTGCTGTAGAGAAAAGAAATGGTCTTTTAAACAAATGACCTATAATTAGAAGCTCTAAGTAGAAAAAGAACGGCAAATGAATTATATTAAAAATAAGAACACGTGTTACTCAAAATATGCCATTAATGCATTGCAAATAGGAATGTCACAGTGCGTAAGAAGATATGTGCAATATATCTGTCTGATAAAGGACTCATATTCAGAATATGTAAAGAACTTTTGCAAATCAATAAGAAAGATGCTAAGTAGAAAAACAGGAAAAATAATTGGACACTTGAAAAAGAGGGTATTGAAGTGTCCAATGAACATATCAGAAAATAATTAATTTCATTAGTATCAGAGAAATGCAAATTAAAACTACAATAAGATACCACTACATACCTACCAGAATGGCTAAAATGAAAAAAAGATGGAATATGCAAAGTATTGGTAAATATGTGGAGCAGTCAGAACTGCTACTGAGAATGTAAATTAGTACAACCACTTTGGGAAACTGTTTGGTACTGAATAAATTTATACTCTTACCCAGTTATTTCATTCTTAGGGATAAACCCAAATGCTGCCACCAAAAGACATATACTGTAATGTTCATAGCAGCATTATTTGACTAGCCCTAAATGTGAAAGCTATCTAAATCCCTGTTGACAGTAAAATGGATAAATTGTGGTATATTCATATGATGAAATATTATACGGCGATGAGCATGAATATACTATAACTGCCAGTAATGACATGAATGATTCTTGCAAAAATTATGTGGGTGAAAGAAGCCAGATATAAAAGTGTTTACACAGTCTGATTCCATTTATATAAAGTACCAAAGTAGGCAGAATGATTGCTAGAAGTTATGTTATCGTTGGATGGGGATGGGTGTGACTTGAAGGAGGCATGAGGAAGGACTTCTGAGGTGTGTTGATAATGTTTTCTTTCTTGATCTTGGTGCTGGTTACACATGGTTGCTTAGTGTGTGAAAATTCATTGAGCTGTGTGCTTATGATATGTGCACTTTTCTCTGTTTACCATACTTCAATCAGAGATGTTGAAAAATGTTATGATCTCTATATTGGCTTAAAGTTACCAGGATAGTTTCCAAGACTACCCTAACTCATCCTCCAGCACTTAACTGTTTGCCTTTGCTTTTGATTGACACTGGAGACTGGCTGGAGCTGAAAGTTCAGTTGAGAACTTAGTTGATTAGAAAAGAAAGGGCAGGAAGGAGAAGAGGGAAAGTGAATATATGTGAATGTAGGTATGAGGGAAAGCTCGTCTGCTTGTGGGTACAAACTAAAGGGACCCATGCTATCAAGAGATTATGAAGATTAATATGTGCAAGTATATCTCTTTAATTGCAATTTATGTTTTTAAAAAAAGCTTAATAGAATCTTTAGGACTAACAGTTCACAAAATTTAAAATAAGTCAGGAATTGTAAATTTATTCATTTATTTATCAGTACTTATTTACAAGTTATTTATAAGTAAGTAAGTATAAGTGGTATTTTAAATGTTAACTTTATATCTTTTCCTTCCTTAGACACTCATAGTCAAAAATCATAATTTACTTAGCAAATTATCTTTTTATTATAAATCTCTCTATCCAGATTTATTATGGATTACTGAGAATCTAATTACTGATAATCTAATTACAGTGTTGCCATAAGAAATGTTTTTATAATTTTTTCTTTAAAGGTGGTATGTTATTTTGCTATGATGTTTCAACCTATCAGAGTAAAGATGGCAAACCATTGAATCGACTGATGGCCAGTAGAGGGCGAAGTTTCAAGCAGATGTCACTTGCTCTTGTACATGAGGTAGGTGCCTTCTTGTACTCCCCAGCTGCCTCTGGGTAAATGTTTTAGGGTATCCCTCCTTCACTCTATATTTATGAAGCTGGATATTTGTTTAGAAATATTTTTTCTTTATCATAATTAATGTAGTTGCTTTTAAAGGCTAACAAAATAGCTGACCCAAGCAAGTACTAAAACGTTTGATGTATTTCTCAAAGAAACTGGCATGCTTTTCCTAATGCCCAGCCTAATCGTTAGGAAGATGCATCTTTGAATTTGGTTTATTTTATTAATGTTTAACTTCCTTTGTTCAGAATAAATATCAACTTATGTAAAGAAATAATATTGCTTATTTCTTCTAATCCTTTGCAAGTATGTAGCACACTAGTGTTTATAATTTGGGAGCGTTTGGAATTAACAGTAAGTAGAAGTGATTTATTTATTTATTTATTTATTTATTTATTTATTTATTTATTTATTTATTTCAGGAAAGCCCTTGGTTTTGGTCTTTGCTTTAATTTACTTTTCAATTACCCTTTTAAAATAAGTTATATGATGCCATTAAATGATTTGCATGAAATCTGATCATTGCAGATTACAGCAAAACCATAGGGAAGAGAGAATCTGGAAGATACTTGGGAAATTAGTGTTTTTGTTGTTGTCTATTAAAATTTTGTGACACTCAGGTGTGTATAAATTAAAATGTATGAATAAATAAAAAGATAAAATATCACAGCAAGAGATTTATATAGTTCAGACACAATAGGTTATATACTATTTATAACTGAAAATATATAAATTATAAAAATAATGGATTTGATATAAAAATAATTAGCATTTCTAAAATATGTCTGTATAAAATCTTATTTTGATGTGTAATTTATAAATCCTGGTACCTCTAATATGGTTTAATCATATTCTGTGTCACACCAATTACCACCAGTATAACAGTACAAAGGGTTATTAAAGACACATCTTCATCCTGTGCCACCCATTTTCCTTTACTACATTTAGTTAGAGTTGAAATTGTGTAAATATTTTGTTCAGAATCTTTTTTGTCTAATACAGTGTCTCTGTTCAACTAAAGAGGGAAGAAGGATCAGGGAAGAGTAGTGTTTTTCTGGGAAGAAGAGAGGTTTAATTTCATGAAAGAGGGAAAGACATACGTGATTTCTACATTTGTTTTTCCCTGTCATGTCATTAATTGGCATGGAGAAGGGAGATATTTGGTACCTTTTTGTGTTTTTAAGCTGTGCACTTAGGTATTTGAAGGACAACTAAATTATAAGGTCTCAATGGAAAGCTGATTGTTAAAGTCACCATTAAAATGGAATCAAGAAAAAGTGTTAACATGGAAGAAGACATCGGATAAATTCAGCCAATGGTATCAGAAGTTATGAGGTGTGCTCTAGATATGAACAGATAAAGATATATGAAATATCTTTGTGTTAAGATATTTTTTGCTTGTGTTGTAGAGAGCCTAGAAAATTTCAAATAGATGAGAAAATAATGTCATTATTTTAGGAGTCAAGTAGAGGGCATATTGGGCAGAATTCTGCAAATCTACGGTAGGATTTTAGTTTGTATTCCATCTTCTGCTTACTATGGTTTATTTGTTTTTTTTTAAAAAGGAGGGAGCAGAGAAGGAATGAGCCATATAGTTTCTCAAACTAAATGACAAGAAATCGTTTTTTTTAAAAAAGGAGGGAGCAGAGAAGGAATGAGCCATATAGTTTCTCAAACTAAATGACAAGAAATCATATGAGCTTTAAGAGCTGATTAATAGGTATAACAATTGCAGTAATAACTGCTAATTAATAGCCTAGGCACTTTAAAAATTGCTATACAATATTTATTCATTTAATCTCTGCATTAACTCCATGAGATAGGTATGGTTAGTGTACTCAAGGTCACTGAGCTAGTAAGTGGAGGAGCTTAGAAATTGAGCCAAGTCAGTGAGGTTTCATAGGTTCTTGAACTATCCTATTGTCTCCCAAGTTAATCAGAGAACATCTTAAAAATACCTTTGGATCTTTCCAAGATTGCTCTAATATCTCTCAACTCTTCTCTGTGCTTCTACTCTTCCTTTTTTTGCAGTCTGTTTGTTATTTTTCCAGATGAAGTTTCTTCAAACTCTGCTTTGGTTCCCACCAGTCCTGTATTCTGAGTCTTTATTTTAAAGAGTTTCTTGAGAACTTCAATTGGTTTGTTAATTCACCAGCTGATGAACCTTTGGGCTGTTTCCAGTTTTGGGTGAATATTCTAAAGTTGTTGTAAACATACTCATACAGGTCTATGTGTGAACATCTATTTTTATTATTTTGTGTAAATAAACACCTACGAGTGGGATTGCTAGGTCATGTGGTAAGTTCATATATAACTTTATAAGAAATGACCAAACTGTTTTCCTAGGGGCTGTCTCATTTTGAATGTCCTCCTGCAGTGTCTGAGAAACCAGTTGTTCTGCCTCCTTGCCAGTGCTTGATATTGTCAGTTTTTAAAAATTTAGCCATTCTTGTAGGTGGGTAGTGATTTCCCTTTGTGGTTTTAATATGTATTTCCTTAATGACTAATGATGTTGAGCATCTTTTCACGTGTTTATTTGCCATTTATGCCACTTCCATGAAGTATCTGCTCTAATCTTTTGCTTATTTTTTTCCTGTGGTTTTTGTTTTCAAAAGATAGTACTTTATATACCACAAAGAATTTTTTTTTCCTTTTTTCTATGCTTTCCTTTTATTCTTTTTTTAAGAAAAATTGAGTTATAATTCATATATAAAATTAACCCATTTAAAGTGTGCAGTTCTGTGGTTTTCAGTATATTCATAGAGTTGTGTAACCATCACCACAATCAATTGGAGAACATTTTCATCTTGCCAAAAAGAGACTTTGAACCCTTAGCAGTCACTCCCTATCTACCTCTCTCTTTAGCCTCCAGCAACCACTACTCTCCTTTCTGTCTCTATGGATTTGCCTATTCTGGATATTTTGTGTAAATGGAATCATACAGTATATTTTTTCTGTGTCTGGCTTCTTTCACTTAATGTAATGTTTTCAAAGTTTATCCATGTTGTAGCATGTTTCAGTACTTTATTCCTTTTAATGACAAAATAATCTCTCACTCTATGGATAAAACCACATTTAGTTTATCTATTAATCAGTTAATGGATCTCCTGTGTTTTCTTGTAGCAGTTTTACACCTTAAGGTTGACATTTTAACTTATGATCCGTTTGAGTTAATTTTTGTATAAGGTATGTTATATTTGTTGAAAATACCATCCATTCTTCACTGAATTACCTATACACATTTGTCAAAAATCATTTGTCCATATATATGTGGGTCTGTTTCTTTACTCAGTTCTCTTCCATTGATCTATATGTCTATACTTTCACCAAAACAACATAGCTTAATTACTGTCACTTTATAATAAATTTTGAAGTAAAATAGTATGTATCTTCCAACTTTGCTTCTTTTTTTCAAAAAATTTTTGGCTATTCTAGGCACTTTGCTTTGCTCTATAAATTTTAAATCAGCTTTGAGACACCACAAGAAAAGTCTCCTGTGATTTTGATTGTAAATGCATTAAATTTATAGGTCAACTTAGGAGAGAATTTACATCTTAGTAATATTGAGTTTCTAGTCCCATGAACAAGGTATCTTTCCATTTATTTAGGCTGATGTTTTGTTGTTTTCATATTACAAATCTTGGACATATTTTTCTAAATTCATAAGTATTACATATCTCTAAGTATTTTGATGCTATTGCAATTTGGTCTTTTTTTTTTTTTTTTTGGTATTAATTTCCAGCTGTTCATTTCTAGTATATAAACATACAATTGATTTGTTTCTATGACCTTTCTAAACACACTTACATGTTCTTGTAGTCTTTTGTAGATTCTTTTTTTCATTACATTGTTGTCTGAGTAAAGATGGTTTTAATTTTTTTCTTTCTGATCTTTATGCCTTTCATTTCTTTTTATTATCTGATTGTACTGTCTAGGGCCTCCATTACACCTGTTGCATGGGGCTGGTGTGAGTGGACATTCTTTTCTTATTCACTCATGGGGGAAAGCATTCAGTGTTTCACCACTTATTGTGATGTTAGTGTAGGGATTTTGTAGATGTCTTCATCAAGTTGGAGAACTTTCCTTCTAATCCTAAACTGCTGAGAGTTTTTATCACAAATAAATGTTGAATTTTGTCAAATCTTTTTCTACATCTGTTGAGGTGATTCCATGCTTTTTAATTTGTTGATATGATGAATTATTTTGTTTAATTTTCTAGTGTAAACCAACCCTGCATTTCTGGGATAAACTCCACTTGATCATATTATACTATCCTATTTATATATTGTTGCATTCGATTTGCTAATATTTTGTTAAGGATTTCTGCTGATGAATTATTTTGTTTAATTTTCTAGTGTAAACCAACCCTGCATTTCTGGGATAAACTCCACTTGATCATAATATACTATCCTATTTATATATTGTTGCATTCGATTTGCTAATATTTTGTTAAGGATTTCTGCATCTATGCTGATGAGAGGTGTTCTATAGTTTTCTTGTAATACCTTTGTCTGGTATTTCAGGGCAATGCTACCCTAATAAAATGAGTTGTATAGTGTTTTCTTGTTTTCCATTTCCTGGAAGAGTTTGTATGGAATTGTTGTTAGTTTTTCCTTAAATGCTTGGTAGAATTTTCTAGTGAAACCATCTGGACCTGGAGCTTTCTTTTTAGGAATATTTGTAACTATGAATTCCATTTATTAAATATATATAAGACCATTCTTTCTTAGTAACTACTTATCTCTCTGTCTCTCTGTCTGGACCTACTAATCTGGAAGGGGGATTTGGGTTGCACAGCATATGTGACAGTTAGTGTCTGTTTTACTAAAGAATAAACTCCAGGAAATCAAGGAGTTTGTCTTGCTCACATGTAGCTCTAGTGCTTGGTATTCCTGACACATAGTAGGTACTTAATAAATGTTTGTTGAGTTAATGATTTTAATCATTTTGAAACTTGG